CCGTTCACCTGCCATGTGGACCATTTACTATTATATATCATCTATGTTATGGTCACATGTACTTTATTATCAACTTGCAATTTAATTTTTGCAAAGGTTGTTTGCTCGAATTGATAAATCAAGAGTACATTTCAAATTATAAAACTATATTGATAATGTTGGTATATATCCAAGTGGTTTAAGCAAAAATTATATGCCTCCAATTATAGCTAAACCATTGGTTATGAGAACAAACCTCCCAAAAGAAATTTGGTATGAGATGTGTTATTTAAAGTGTAGTAACACTTGTACGTATCAAGCCAACAAGGTTTCCCTATCACAATTGGTTCAGGGTTACGAACCAAATAATTCTCATCTAGAAATTTAAATGTGCGGTATATTATTGCTCCACCATTACGCAATGCACAAAGATGAGTCCCCAAATAAGGTTGGTGAATGTTAGAATATTAGGGGGAGATAAGCAACTGGAAAATAAGTTATACATAATGAATTATCATTGATATGATCCTCATTGAAGAGATAATTTAAGTCAATTGTCAGACGCATTTGCTGACCCTATGTTATAATCCAGTTATAAATGCTCCAGTGAAAAGTCCTTGAAGGACATAATTTATGACACGCCTGAAACATGATAAATTAATCGATTCAAAAGATAAAGGAGCAAATGATCAAGATGATCATAATAATGAGGCAAGTGCTTTAGAAAGAGCACCATATTATAATATTTTATAAAAAACCTTGGTAAAGGTTCAGGTACCTGAAAATAATGAAAAAATAAAGTGAACTTGATAAGTTATGTCACATTAGAATCGATATCAAATAATCGTCGAAGATATCTTGAATATAATGTAGCACTCAAAATTATAAATGGTGATGAGGATCTTGATGTTAAATCTATCGAGAGTTGGCAGATAAATAATTGGCCAAAGAAATATAATTCAAGTATTTTTCTATTCACTTGAAAAAGTGATGTTTTGGACTTATTTTGTCCATATACCAAAGATATAATGTCAGTGGGGTACAAATGAATTATTGTGTGATAAGTGAAATCGTAAAATATGAAGTAAGGCTTGTCCATTGGAAAATAAAGACTTTTCACAAAAGTCCTGACATTATTGTATGGAGATGTATTCTCCTAAGGTGGATGCAATGAGGTTTCTATCAGTCTGACAATATATGAAAAACTTGAATACACATGATGAATGATTATCATGTCTCTAAACAGTAAACATTATATGAAAATTCTTGAAGGATTTAAAAGGTTATAAATCGATTCCATTGAATAGTACCCAATGATTGTAAGATCACGTATTATAAAGATCAATTTTGATCTCATTAAAATGGTTAGAAAGTACCATGTCATAGTGCAATTGGTGCACTTATGTATCCTTCTATTATTATTCATGGTAAATAATTTTATTAGTATGCATGCAAAATATAGCATCACTCTTATCGGTGGAGATATTAGAGTGAATCAAATATCAATATAAATTATTTATTCTGACCAATTGTGTCAAAATTTATTGATCATGAAATTGCAGGAAATTATGAAGTTTGGACTCATGAAAATTATATATTTTCATTTGAAAATACTATCATTTCAAATCATTCCACAAGACAGTCAATTTTATTGAAAGTGTTCGTCAGTGCTTGATTGTTGCTGCTAACAAATCGAACGAGCAATTTGTCTACGTCGACAAGATCACGAATTGAGTGATTGTCAAAAATATGTTTGGTTGAGATCAATAAACATATCCAGAGAATACGTGACCTTCCTTTGAAAAGAGATATTCCAACAACATTATATGAAGATATTGATGCATGTCTAGCTCAACAAAAGAGGACACATCAAAGAAGACTGAGCAAAATATATTCCATCGAAATTCTTTTTATTCATGACCATGAAAAGAAGGATGTAGAAGATGTTTTTAACACTTCGGTATTCACCAATGCATTATCAACTTCAATCTTTGAGAAGCTGAGATATAAGATTGAAATGTGTTATTTTCGGATTGATAAGTGATGTCTTAATCATGGGGAGTATAGTACCCGCTGCACTCTTTTTTTCTTAACTAAGATTTTCTCCCACTGGGTTTTCCTAGTAAGATTTTTAATGATTCAACTCTTAATGCGTATTATAAGATATGTGTACTCTTTTTCCTTCACCAAGCTTTTTTTCACTGGGTTTTTCTTAGTAAAGTTTTAACGAGGCACACTATCTATTAAGACATGGACATCCAAGGAGGAGTGTTGTAAAATGGATGTCCAATACATATATTTTGTGGTAACATGTATGTACACATTATACATTATGTGTAAAATGAATATACACACAACAAACAAAGTGTTGTAACCTAACCCTCCATACTATATACTTGGCGCCCCAAGTGTATACATGGCAAGAAGATATCCATGTATCACACTTGGTGCCCAAGTATATGCAACTATATATACCCCTCTTCTTGTAACAAAGTAAGGAACATAAGGAAAGAGTAAGTGAAAGAAAAACATTCAATAATAGAGAAAAGCTACTATCACTATTTTGTGTCTCTCTTTCTCTCCATTTCTTCTTGTCATTTTATGTTACTACACATGCTTCATTTTATAATAGTTTTAAATTTTTTATTTATTTTTGAAATTCATATTTACATGCTATAAAAAGAAAATTATTTTTTCATGTCAAATTTCTTTTTAGATTGATAAATTTGTTGAGTGATTTTATTGATATAAAAACCTAGGTGGAGTGATTTTATTGATACAAAATAAAGTTTAATGACTTTACTAGATAAATTTTCAAAGTTGAGTGATCTTTTGAGATATTAACTCATACTTTCTATGACTTTTGACAAACTATATAGTATATAGTTAGTGTATACTTCCTATAACGTTTGACTATTTTTATGTAAATAAAACATAGCTATATTTGTTATAGGCTAATTACTTTATTGTACATATTTAAAACCAACCCACCAATTTATTCCATATTGAAGATAGGATAACTAATCTCATTAGATACAATTGAACCTTTCTATTATCGTTATTCGTCATTCTTTATAATAACATTTCACGATAACAATGACCAAATTCTCTTTGAAAACGACTTTCATATTATGTTATATTAGTAGTATGTGTTTTATAACAACACTTTGTGATAAAAAAAAATATTCAAGCAAACAACATTCTAATTTTTTTTTACTCTATATATTGTTTTAAATAATGATCAACTTCTCTAGTCTTCTCTTCTCTCGTCATTTTCTCAAGAAAGTTGACAACCAAAAAAGGAAAATTTTAAAGGAAAAGGTGAAGGATATTATTGGAGAAACCAGGCTAGAAAGCAAATATCTGTTGCTTTAATACACAGGTGACATGTTCCAACATATGATAACTATGTTGGAATATGCACCAACATATGATAACAATTTCTTGTTCATTAACTCAAGAAAAGAACTTAGTATCAAGAGTCTGTTGTTCGAAAATTATAAAAATTTTCAAAAAATAACTGATATGTTTTAAGTCGAACACGACCTTCAATTCAAAATGAGAGTGACGACGGAGATGAGGAAAAAGATAATGAGGAGAAATGTAGTGTTTTTTTTTTCTTTCTATTTTATAAAAGATTAGAATGTTTTGAAAATATGAATTTAATCCCAAATTAACTTTTACATTTTTAAATGGATTTAAAAATTGACACCATTTGTTGGATTTTCTCAGGTTGCCAACGTCTCTAAAGCTTCTTTTTAAAACACAAAAAAAATTGAAATAAAAGAAGAAAGATTGTCATGGTCGATATTGATGGTTTTAATTGTAAGTTCCTAAACCAAAAGGCTCGTTAGTGACCGTTGAGCTATGTCTCGCAATCGCCAAAACTTCCCTTTTGGAATTCGAATTGTAATAAAGCGGCAAGAAAGAAGAAAGATTGTCATGGTCGATATTGATGGTTTTAATTGTAAGTTCCTAAACCAAAAGGCTCGTTAGTGACCGTTGAGCTATGTCTCGCAATCGCCAAAACTTCCCTTTTGGAATTCGAATTGTAATAAATCGGCAAGAAAGAAGAAAGATTGTCATCGTCGAATTAATTGTGTGAGTTTTCTGTATTGATATTCCTTGATGGTTGAAAATGGGGTTTCCCATTTCAAGCTTGCTTCACTGTGATTTATGGTTTTACTTGTAAAATGGGTTGGGGGTTTCCGATTTCAACAATTTAAGATGTTTCCATCTGATTTCTGGTTTTACATGTAAGATTTCTTGATGGAAAATGGGAGGGGTGGATGTGGGGGTTTCCCATTTCAAGCTTGCTTCACTGAGATTTCTGGGTTTACTATGAACCTTTGGTTTTAATTGTATGATTTCTCGGTCGTTGGAAATGGGAGGGGTAGTGGTGGGGGTTTCCGAATTCAAGAATTTACGAATAAGCTTTTGAACAAGACTGAAAATCTTAGTTGGTCGAATCAACTTTTGTGAGTTTTCTATCTTTATTGATGTTTACTTCTTGCTTCATTTCTATTATGGGTATTATTCTCTGGGGGTGGGGAATTACAGAAATGTTTTTGGAATGAACTTGTGAACAAGACTGAAAATCATAGTTCGTCGAATCAATTCTGTAAATTTTCTATCTATATTTCAACCATACTTTAATTCTAATTTCTTGACTGATGTTTCCTTCTTGCTTCATTTCTGTTCTTTGTATTATTTTGTACTTCACTCAGATTTCTGGGTTTACTATGAACCTTTGGTTTTAATTGTAAGATTTCTTGATCGTTGAAAATGGGAGGGGTGGGGGATGGGGGTTTCCGATTTCAAGAATTTAGGATGAAAATCTCAAGTTTTTTGTTGTTGTCATAGTCTGTGTTTGTAGTTTCTTGTTACTCTGCTTCTATTCTTAAATGAATATGTGTGTATAGATATTTATACACAATTCTACGAGCTTATATACGTGATATGTTTTATACTACACTCAGATATTTATAGCTTATATAACATATCACGTCATCCCCACCATCTCAAAATTGCTCGTCATTTAGAACCAGTTGGCCATGTAGCCACATATTTGTTAATTGTGCTCCGTGTGGAGATGCAACAATGTCAGTGTTGGCCAGCACTTTCACCTGATAAAGGACATTGACATTATTTCAGTGATTCCCTGGATACTACTGAAGTTGCATGTAGTGTAATCTGAATCTTGCTGATGGAAATTTCTTGGTAAGATTTAGTTGTATTTATTCTCTGTAAAGTACTGCTCCATTGAAATTTCTGGGGTTTACTGAATACTGATTGAAAGAAGGGAAAAATATGTACCTGGTCGCAGAAAGATAAATCTTCTGACTGAACTATGTGCAGAATGCAGCCTTCAACTCGGGCACATTCCTTTGCAAATATATCAGTCAGAGCAGAATGAGCGAGAACCTCTTCTCATTAATAGTGTAAGTCTTATAATTGGAAATTCTCTTTCATTCATCTCTCTACCTTTGACTGCAGGATTAAGGTCACAGTAGCTCCTTGCTTTGCAGCGCAGAACGTCGGACCTTAAGCTTGTTCTCCCGTGTAATTTGGCCTAGATCATGCCTCATGACAATGGCTTTCTCAAAACAGTAAGGTACATCTCCTCTATCAAATCCTTCCACCTTGACTTCACCAAAACTAACTTGCATAAGTTGTTGAAGCCATGATCCCATTCTTAATCTCAGTTCTCCCCAGTGGAATAGCACCCATCTTGTGGGCTTCAAGCACTCATTTTTCATTGACCATCTTACAAGAGGAGTCATTGCACATATTCCATGCCACAGATTTTCATGGTTGTAGTATGTGTCCGAAACAAATGTTAGGCCTTCCAATAAAATAGCAGAGTCTGGAAGACTTCCTCGCCATGCCAAAGCATATGAATTCTTTGTACCATCCCTAGTATCCCTTCCTTTAAAGCAAAGAAGGCATCCTTTGGATGCTTTGGAAGGGAAATACAAGTGTTCTGTCTCATTTTCCTCGAATGTGTCATTCAAAGAGCTCATTAACCATGTATGGCCAGTTGTGGCTGTTTCTCTAAATCTAAGGTCTACAAGGGGGAGGAAAGTAACAGAGGTTTTGAGTTCTTCAGTCATGGTCTCGATGACACCGGAGTAATTTTCTTGAGAAAGAAAACCCCATCTTTGGGATCTTGCTGATAAAGAGAACTCAAAAGGGGATGAATACTGGATTTGGAAAAGGATGATAACCAGGAACAAGGAGGAAACAAAGATGCTGATGAATTTTGTGGAGAAGCATTTTCTCTTGCTTTGTGTGCATAACTTGAGATGATCTTCCATTACCATCAGTTATGCTATAGCTAAATCTTCTTAACTATTTCTGTGGCAAATCTAGTCTCGAGATTGGAAGTTAATCTATTATTCTATTGAAATAACTAGTTGACGTAAAGCTAGTGTTAGCATTTCTTACTCAAGTGATAAGCACATGATGCAAGATTTGGAAAAGCAATCCCCATATACAGATGTATGCTTTCGAATATTTTATTTATAAGAAGGGTCTGAGGTCAGAGATGGAGCCATGGTTTGCGTTTGTTTTATTGTTTTTTAAGTACTTGATTTATAGTTTCGTCAAACTTGCATTAAAATGTTCACAAGTCACAACTAATAATAGTATTTTATACTTGGGGATCCACCTTCCATGGCCCTTATAAGGAATCTATGCAGTATTCTGTAAGTTTCAGTGAGGAAATCCATTCGCGCAGTTGGATTCTTCTCTCAAGAGATAAACGGATATAAATGTTGCTTAATAACTACACCTCAGTCAGAAACAAGTTGGAGTCGGCCACATAATTCTCGTTGACAACAAGGAAGCTATTCTTGAGAGTACTGTGTAATCTTGACAAAGAAAGTTATTTTTGAAGTTTTGATTAAATTTGGCTATTACGTAGACTGGCAATTTTGATTAAACTTCAATGAAAATTTAGGGATCTTAACTGGTTTTCATTACATCAACTTTAAATTTAATGTTTCAACCACAACTATGATTTGTTGAGAGGAATGGCTACAGCATCAGCTTACCTGATTCAAGATCGTATACACTATAATGATACAAATTTCATCTAACAACTCGAATATACATTGGTGTGATATACTATTTCTTAGCAGGGGCTTCTCTAGTGGGAAAGAATGGTATCTCGAAGAAAAGAGGAGGAGGGATTGGTGGAAGAAAAGCACTTAATGATATCTCAAAGCCTTCTGCTCTACAAGCATCAAAGAAAAATAATTCCTCAAATGTGAGGGAAAGATCTTGATTCCTCTAGAAACAAATATAGTGCAGGAAGAAAAGATAATTATTCTAAAGTTTTGGAGAAAAAGGGTGGCAGGAAAGCACTAAACTGATCTTACAAAACTCAACCAAGTCGTCATCTGTTGCAGAATCAGAATTGTGTCAAAGCACAGAGAAAGGCCATGGACATGAGTTGTTTTCTCAAGGAAGTTGGATTAGATCATGGTACGACCAACACCGATATTTGATTGAACCGTGTATTAGAAACATTTTGCTGATCCAATTCTCCTTTGGCAGATGATGTCCCTGTGCATCTAGGAGCATCTCCACATGCACTTGAACTATCAATGAAGTCGAAGGTATTTGCATTCCTAGCACCCTTTCCTCATGTACATTGTATTCAATGTTTTTGTATTGAATTTCTGATTTTGTTAAATTAAATGTAGTCATCGACATATTAGCCAGAAAGCCCAACTAAGCATTATGTCCAAGTGGAAGAGCTGCCAGAACTGATCTTTTATGATCAGGTCTGTTGTATATCTTTTTCCCCTTGTGCTGCATCTCCTAAATCAGTAAAGCCACGATATATCAGCTGGCCGGATGACGGTGTTCTAGATTTTGCATTGCTATGGAACACCTATCCATTCAAAGTATTGATGGACACTACTTTAAACTCAAGGATCACTAGCAGCCCTTTGAAATATATCCGTTGTAGTCATTGGTCAGTCATCTATCCTAAATCAGCTAATGTTTTTCTATTCTTTCCTTCTATTTTCTTTTTCTAAATTTTTTGTTTCAGATTAGATTGGATGAATTGGATGAACTCAAGTTAGGATTCCTACATCTTTTGTCTTTCTTTTATTTTGAAACAGTAACATGATTGAAGGGTCCTTTTGTCATTTATTGATGGGTTGGGAAAGATGGCTGGGGTAAGAGAAGAAAAAAATAGGACTACGGTGGATCGAGCCTTGCATCTAGAGTATGTTAACTGTACCAAGAGTGTGTACAAACCCTACCCCCATCTTGTGCTAGGTAGAAAAACTGTTTCCAATAGGCCTCAAAAATAAGTTTGAAGAAAATACAAGAGTAAAGAAGCAATGATGATAAGGAAAGTATCTAAATAAAAAATAGCAGGATAAGCAAATATAATACTAGAAGATATTTGTAGTACTGATAAGGAGAAGAGGGAGCAGAAAAAGGTGCTTCAACTAGAACCATGCTCTGCCACAAAAAATGAGAGAAATTGATCAGTTACCGACAGGATGGACTGCAGCTGGCGGATTTTATCCTTTAGTTCAACTGCAAGGGATAGTACTTAATCTTCAATATAACCCAGACCAACAGAAATAGAATCAAGTCACTCTTTAGCACCTTGTTGAATTCTGAAAATCTTAGTTGGTCGAATCAATTCTGTGATTTTTCTATCTTTATTGATGTTCCTTTTGGCTTCATTTCTGTTCTGTGTATTATTTTGCACTTTTACTATGAACCTTTGCCTTTAATTGTAAGATTTCTTGATGGTTGAAAATGGGAGGGGCTTTCCGATTTCAAGAATTTAAGATGAAAATCTCAACTAAAGATGAATATACCCCTCTTCACCAATTTGCTCTGTTTGATGATTCGAACCCTAGAAATTTAGAGTTGGAGGTGGAGGGTGTTAACCACCTGAGCATGTGCATCTGATGGGGGTAATCTGGTGTTTCATCTATTTCCTTTTTTGAAATGCAATAACCAGATTGATTGAACATATCAATGCACCAAATGTTCCTGCTTATCATAGGCAGGTGATGTTCAATTTTCTCTCCTTGATGCTGTTGTGGGTTTCACTCTAATCATCTTAACACAAAATATGCATTTGGTTTGTCATAGTCCGTGTTTGTTGTTTATTGTTACACTGCTTCTATTTTGGTATTCGACAAGGCACCTTTAAATTTAATGTTTGAACCACAACTATGGTTTGTTGAAAGGAACGGCTACATCATCAGCTTACCTGATTCAAGTTCTGGTTATAAGTACAAATTTCTAACAACTGGAAAATACATTGCTGTGATCTTGTATACTATTTACATTCCTAGCACCCTTTCCTCATGTACACATTCACTGTTTTTGTATTGAATTTCTGATTTTGTTAATAGCAGTGTTGGTGGAGAAGACATAAAATTTAGCGTAATGGTCAGTCTTTTCCAGTGGATACAGGAGAAGAAGCGGTCCAAGTTCCGGAAGTTTGTAGATACCTTCTGCAGGAAGCCTCAGGACAATTTTGCATCCATGTGACTCACTTTTATGGCCTTAAGGAGCACGTGCTAGCCACTTGCCTCATTGACGTACTTTCCATGTCCGGCGACTCTGATGATGCCCGCCATCTCCTCAACTGGCGGAAAGGCGGCCCTAAAACTGCCTAAAATTCCGGCAACTTCTCTCTTGTTGCCACTGAGGTAAATTCTTCTTCACCATTGGAATTCTCTGACGATGTAGAAATAACACAATAGCTATTCGGCGCACTAAATTCAGATTACTGTTCTTGTCCGTTGCTTAATTGAACAAACTATTGAAAATCCCTCCAAAGCAATTGAGTGATTGAGCGAATGCGGAAGAGTTTCACCGCTTAGTTACTTAAGTTTAGCCACTTCCACAATCTTGCCCTGTCATGTTGTACTTAATAGTCTCTTCCCTGCTAACAATTGGCTCCACATTGTCCCGCCTCTGTTAGGTTAGTTATCCTTTTCTTAAATTGAAAACTTTTTGGTTCTTCTTTTCTTTTGTACATTATTTCTTGTTCTTGTATGGCAGTCCTCAATTTTAATGAAGAGAAATGGAGAATGGAAATGAGATGTAGTTGTTTAAATCAATTTGTCAACTACACAATCAGCCCAATCAAATTGAGATATAAAATAAAATAGGACAATTAGAGGAGGGAAACAGCTCTGTTTATTGACAATCTCCCATAGTCGAACTACACTATAAAGAGAAATAAGAATTAAAAGGTTGACGTAAGAGAATTGGGGAGGAATATACAATAGAGAAATCAAATGAGGAAAAAGAGAGGGGTAAATTTACCTACTGATTCTTGATGATTTTAAATGTAGGCTTGCACTAATTCTAAATTAACATATAAGAAGGCGTTATTCTTTGAGTATTCAGGTGTGAAATGTGTTTGAAATTTGTTAAGGAGGAATTATGTTGAAGACAGAAAGCCCAACGAAGCATTATGTCCAAGTGGAAGAGCTGCTAGAACTGATCTTTTATGATCAGGTCCGTTGTATATCTTTTTTCCCCTTATGCTGCATCTCCTAAATCAGTAAAGCCACGATATATCAGCTGGTCGGATGACAGTGTTCTAGATTTTGCATTGATTTGGAACACCTAATTCAAAGCATTGATGGACACTACTTTCAACTCAAGGATCACTCGCAGCCCTTTGAAATATATCCGTTGTAGTCATTGGTCAGTCATCTATCCTAAATCAGCTAATGTTTTTCTATTGTTTCCTTCTATATTCTTTTTCTAAATATTTTGTTTCAGATTAGATTGGATGATTTGGATGAACTCAAGTTAGGATTACTGCATCTTCTGTTTTTCTTTTATTTTGAAACAGTAACATGGCAACTTTTGATAATTTTGAGTTTTCACAGTTTGATGAACCTTTTGCTTAATAAGCTGTTAGCTGTTTTGCAATGTGAGTGAATTGAAAAAGATTGCTTCTTGTATCTGAAGTTGTGACTAACTTGGAATCATTTTTGTCTTTGGAAGGCAACCATGTACATCCAAGATTGTAAGCATTAAGAAGAACATTTCTACTTGCAAGAGTAATGTTGTTCTGCCAAGCAGCAAAACTTGTTTCTATTCAAAGAAGTGAGGCAATTCTGCCTAAGATCACTGCCATTCATGTTCCTGCAACTTGCAGCATGGTCATTTCTCCATCTCACTCAGATGAATCATTAGTATCCATGGATGAATCTATGTCAACTTCTGACACAGTGAGAACTCCAGAGGTTGAATACATAGATGACATGAATTGGCTGCAGTTGATTCCATCGAGAAGAAGGCGTGTAGCACCCTCTACATCTCAGAACATGTCAAAGCAGCAGGTTTTGATCTTTTCAGCAGAGTAGTCCTTGTTCTAGCATTTCATTGTAACTATAACATCTATTTATAAGATTTATCTATTTTTGATTCCTGCAGCAGTTATATGCAAGAGAGATTTACTTGTGGACTTGGAATCAGGGGATAAAATTGTCAACGTTGATAAATTATGCGCTACAATGGGCCTGCGAGGTATAAAAATGTTTACCCTCTATCTCTTTTCAGCTCTTTGAATTGGATGCTCGCTATGTAGTGGTTCTGCGATAATTTAAAAAGACTGAGCATAGCAGTCAAATAAAGTGGCTTCTTCAATTATATATATTTCATTTAAAAAAGTATCTGATTTATTGAATGAAGATAAGTGTGGGAATACTCATTTTTCAGAAGTAATGTTCTCAATGTCTCCAGCTATAAGTATTGAACATGAACTCACTGTTTCCAGGAAGGAGAGCAAGGGCAGTTGCCTGTCTTGGTATTAAGCATGAAGGAAACTGATAAGAAAAAGAGGCCAGCTTTTGTCTTCCTACATAGTACAAACAAATGTAAAGAGTGGTTACGGACGGCCATTACTATAGGTGATATTTTGTTTTCTTAAAAATACTCCCCATATTACCATCGAGCAGAAGCAATGAATGACAATTCTATGTACGATTTTTTTTTTTTTTTGTTATTCAGGCATATGCTTCGAGGGGATACATAGCTGTAGCAATTGATTCTCGATACCATGGACACCAATATGACAACATATCGTGATGTAAGAACAGGTGCATTTGCTCTTTGCTTCAGTTTTACTCTTGGTTATTTTCTCAAACAAAAAAGTACACTCAGGTCCAATAGGCTATTGGTCAACTGACCTAAATTTGTAGTATGTACAATTATTCTGCATTTTAGTAGCAAAACCTTTGGCCTTTTTGTTTTGAAGTATCCATTTTGTTGCGCCTGTACAAGTACTTTGCTTATTCGGAGTATAAACAATATGGGAGAGTACTTAATACCCTGTTATTGGCTTTCATATTAAGGAGGAAAAATCAAGAACTGGACTTGTTGTACTATTTTCTTTCATTGAATGCTTAGATGCAGTATTTGATTGAGTTGATCTACCTTACTACTTTTTCATGGAAAAAAAGTTATCGATACAATGCCATTCATTTTGAAGGTGTGGGACTTGATAAAACTGGTGGATTATATATCTAACAGAGAGGGAAGATGTTGACTCGTCAAGGATAGAATTACTGGTGAATCACTTAGAGATTAGGCTAGTCACTTTACATGCAATATCTAACTGTTTCTTAAACATGTGGAGTTCATATATGTTTTGTGTTGCAGGTATGCATGCATGGTTTGCTGCTAACTTTAATTGAATTGCAGTTTTACTAACATTTGTTGTCAAACATGTTTTATCTTTGATCATTGTACTAGGCGAAAGTACAAAAAGACATAAATCCTAGCATGCATGCTATCTTCGTATCCTAAATGCGTCAAATCTTTCTTTTTTTCCTTCACTCCTTTGATTTGGAGTTCTTATTTTTATTAGCATAATAAAAGTTTTTCAGTTTATCCTTGATCACTTCATAGCAGTCCTACTGCTGCATCTGCCAAACCTTGCAAAGTAGGTACTCTTCCAACCTACAATATCAGTTTCAAGTGTGATGAAAGAGCTGAGAAAAGGAAAGAGGTTAGCCCTCTGCTTGCATCACTGAAGCTTGATTGTCTTGCATTGTGAAGTCAATATCTCTAAGAACATTTGTCTAGTTATTTGGACAGTTTTACTGGGGTTGGAGATCTAAGTAGAGTAAGTGTCGGTCTACTGATTTTGTCATGTTCTGGTACTGTATTTGGATTTGGGTTTTTGAGTTCTTTGTTTGTGGTCATTTGCTGAGACTTTGCATTGATGAACTTGAATAGAGTGGAATGGATGCCCAGTTTTACTGGGGTTGGAGATCTAAGTAGAGTAAGTGTCGGTCTACTGATTTTGTCATGTTCTGGTACTGTATTTGGATTTGGGTTTTTGAGTTCTTTGTTTGTGGTCATTTGCTGAGACTTTGCATTGATGAACTTGAATAGAGTGGAATGGATACCCAAGACCCACATCATAATTAGAATTGGATTGTAATTGACGGAAAGGCTTGATTTGTAGGGTTATTTTACCTTGTTTCTCTGCTCAGTATGAAATGGTATTGACTTGATGCAAAGCCCGAGTTTTGATTTGTGTGTTGTTAGTTTGTTTGAAGAACAAAGTGATTGAAGTTAGATGAGAGTTTGTAGTGTTCTAAAGTATGAATTTTTTGAAAGTTGAGTTTTTTGTGGTTGTAGCATTGCTTTGGTAATACTCTATATACAAATTTTTTTCTGCTGGATTGGTTGTTTTTAAGAGTATGAGATTGCACTTCTTCAAAGCCTACTATTGGGGTTTGATTATACTTTAAAAACACCTGTTTTAATCATGACTCATGAGGCATTTTGTGTTTGTGGTTTTGACATGCAGAATTGTGGTTGCAAATTTTAAAACATTATAGAGCATGATGGATGTTGTCAAATAACATAGTTGTTTCTGGAAATGGGTTGGTTGGAAATGGAGTTCACCAACTTCCAAAAGTTGTTGCTGGCATACCCAATGGGATGCCTCATGCAAGTTCCACTAATGAAGAACAGAGGAGTTTCCAGAGCACTATCATATTGACTGATAGTGAAACAGTTCGATCTTATGTCCAAGAGGTCAATAATGAAACTACAATTACTGTAGAAAGCAATGTTGGTGTCAGTTCCAAGGTAAGGAAGTTTTTCCTGAGTTTTTACTTACCAAGGACAAGCCCAGAGATTGAGGCTAATGCGAGGAGGAAAATCCTGACATAGATTAGATATTAGGAAAAATACTAATGAAACCTTTAATGGGCTTGGTTTATCACTACTGCTAATGGTCTTCTTGCCAAAACATGGTATTGTATATAGGTGAAATATCATTTTATTTGTACACTTGTTCAATCCCCTGCACACTTGCTAGATAGCATGAAAATCCTTGCTCCACCACTATAGTCTTCTTCTTTCCTTGTGGTCAATTATGAAATTATATTGGTAAATGATAATACTTTATGCAATTGCAGACATTGAACTACCAGTTGTTGAAATATATTTGGGTATTATATATATTGCCTTTATCCCTGATTTTTATTATTTTTAGAGTTGCTGGCAAACTTGTTTTATTTAGTAAATCATTCAGTGACAAGAAAACTATTGAGTATATTGGCTCATCTCAATATAGATCGTGCGAAGGTAAATGTCTTAGGTCTAATTTATGACCTGTAGTCCAGAGTAACAGCAATCTGAATTTCAATATTGCAGCTTCATATGCATATGTTTATCGTCATCAATATCATATTTTCCTTTTCTGTTGTCTTCTAGCAGCAACCTGGTCATGCTTCAAGTAGCAGCATCAACTTTTTCGAGCACTACTTAGTCTGGAGAAGTCCTATGATAATTGTACTAAGAATGCTTTCAAAACGTGCCAAACAATCAACGATATCTTTTCCCCAGTGGTTTGCGAACTATAAAAAAAAAACAAAACTGATGCCTTTGAAAAAAGTGTCACCTAATAAAGATATCATCTTCGTATCCTAAATGCATCAAATCTTTCTTTATTCCTTCACTACTTCGATTTGAAGTTCTTATTTTTTACTAGTATAATAAAAGTCTTTGAGTCTATCCTTGATAACTTCATAGCTGCGGGGC